ATTTATTTACAATCCAAAGAAGGACATTTTTCATAAAAATATTAAAATTATAAAATATTTGGGCTAGAGGCACATCTAATAACGCAATTAAAACTTATTTGGAATATCTTTTGCGTATAATTTTAAGCTACTTCATCAGTATCATAACAATCTCTCCCATATGTCTTTCAGAAGTTTAGATGGACTGCTATTTCTCTCCGTTATATATTTATGTTTTATGTTTCACAAAGTGCATTTCAATACCAAACTTTAAAGAAAATGATTTTATAAATTATAAAAAGTCTTGTTATTTTATACCAGCTATGAGAAAATAAACTAGTCTTCTAACAAAATGTATGTAAAACTGATCGCAACTCAAAAAAGGAACTAAAATCCAACATAAAGTGATTGCAATAATATTACAAAAACAACAAAACTTTTATTAATGCTGTGCCGCGTGATTTACTTAAGCTCCCAGCTGCTAGGTAAAATTCTAAACTCTGTAAGAAGGGAATATATTTATAAAAAAAGTAGTTTAATTTTTCAAATTAATACCATAATATTTTTCTTGAATTTTTGTCCAATTAAAATTTAAAAACTTACCTAACTAAAAGAATTAATAACTTCAATACAATTACAGCCGCCAATATCTTGATTCAAACTAAGGACTTTTAATACTTTATCGCCAAGTCATGGGCTGATTTAATAAAATTAATTAAATAACATTAATGTTGCGTTACGTTGCTTAACATTAATGTTACTATATGCTAAATATTACTTAATATTCTTGCTTGGGTGAAATCGATGAGTCTTAAGATCGTACAATCCCCGTTATCAAGAGAAAATTATTAGTGTTTACTTTTCTGTAAATGCTTTTAAGAAAACAAGAATTAGTCACCTCGAAATATAAAAAATTACAATCTAAGGTTTCTTCCTTTATGATGCTCAAAAATCTTATTCAAAGGGTTTTTTTTAATGCATTGCTTAAATGTATATATTGATACCATATAAAAACCGAGAATACGCAAAACCAATCTTTCTAGAATAGCGTTTAAAATGTTTATTAAAAAATTAAGGTAAAATGTTTATTATAAAATTAAGGTAATTAGAAAAATTGAGGTATGGCTTTGTGAAATAATCCTCGTCATTAGATCAGTATGATGACAAATCAAGGCTATTCCGAACAAAATTCGGACAAATACGGATGTCTGTGACTGTTGTGTTTTTGTCTGTGACTGTAAGGGACACTTAAAATTCGTTGACTTTATAGAGTTTGATGATTATAGAGTTCATAGAGTTTGCTTTGGTAGTATAAAGTAGTATCAAACAGCTAAGGGACTTGGAGCTAATTAGCGCTTCGTCTGAGAAGAACTACAAAGTCTTAAGAAAGTTTAACAATTCATTGTATTAAATCATTCATTAACAATTCATTGTAATAAACATAACTCATTGTATTGTATTAAATCAGAGCATTAAATGCACGATTCGTACTTACAAATCAGCCGTTCACTTGCAGCGATGAAACTTAAATAAACAATGAATTCAGGTCTAATAGCCAAGGGTTTAACATTTTCTAGGGGGCTGGGACATAGATATTCCGCACGTTTACTACTTTATATGTGCCTCAAGAAATGTCAGTAAATTACGGAGATTTAAAATTCACTTTTTAATATGTAGTAGGAAATGTAAGACCTGTTGATTTGTTTTTTTGCTCCTTCCCGTTAAAATAACTGACTAAATGGTCCTAATATATGACAAATTCGTCTTTATAGTCCAAGGGAAAAGATTCACGCGAAGTTGGCTCAAATTTCTCACCGACGTAAATCGTTTGACCGACCGACGTTTAAATATAACTATAATGCAAATGACGCAAATATAACTATAACGACGGCAACTATAATGCAAAGCCGAAGAATACAATATAAACTAAGCAAGCAGAAATATAGTAAGGACTAACCTTAAGCATATTTTTGTTTTAAAATATTTCAGAGTTTTTCTTGTAAGAAGGATATCTTGGTAATTTGGAATCCATTTATTAAATCCCATGTTTACTCTATTTAAACATTATAGATCTATGGCAATAGGCTTTAAACATATATCGGCCACCATTACGTTGCTTCCCATAAGTTAAGAGTAAATATGTTGGACGTCTGGCTATTTATAACTGTAGTATAAACAAAATGCTTGCCAGCTACCATGGATGGAATAATATTAGGTGCTTAACGATGGGAGTAATGTAGTTTCTGCGAATGTTTCCCTTTTGCCTCTCTAAATGCGTGATATTGTATTATTACTACAATAAATACATATACAACGTTCATCAACAATTACTTTTATTGTTTACTTAAATTTCAATGTGTCTATTTTTTCTGCATTCTGAACGTGTTTTTGTTTGTTTATAAGATTTCATAATATTTTTTTGGTGTTTCATGATTATTAGCCACAGCATGCAGAAGCCTAATATCTTTTCTAGAAGATATCTTCATTGCATAGTGCTGATGAGTTTTTCCTAGTTTTTTAGTTTGCAGTTTGATTACACTTAATACCTCGCCTCCTAAAACGTTTTTAAAGCTTTACCTTCATGTTATATTAAATTGAAATTTTCAAATAACTTGCTTTTAACAGTGGACTTTACTATTCAATACTTACTACTTTGAGCAGTCTTTTTAATATTTATCTGAAAGACCATTTTTCGTTAGGATTTCTCTCCTAAAAGTTTCCTTTTAAGTAGCATTTTGATCTGCTGAAGTAATGATCACAAAACTTCACTTAACACTGAAATCTCAAACTTTAAAACGTGGTTTTGAAATAATGTGTATAAACAATATGATAATGTTTATAATAGTGATCTGTATATTCAGAGGGTTTTGTGCATTTTCATTTTGAAATCAGCGATTAGTGGTTTAAAATTTCTGTAAGAGATAGAATTAATTATAAGAATGCAATTTTTATAAAACAAAATTCGCATTTTTCCTAAACTCAATACTATCCATGTTTCTACGTTCATGACTTAATTTATAGAAAAGTATTTTAAATACACTGAAATCTCGATTCATGAATTCAGTGCGTTTTTAAGACAAAAGAACATTCAACAACAGAAATGTTCGTAAATCAAACTAACTACGCTTTTGATGTTGTTGCTTATGCTCACTTGTCTGACGTAGTCAGCCCAAGCCTACGAAAATTCTTGTGGTAAGAAGCACTAGATTATGTCTGCCGTTGGCAACAGCCTTGAGCACCATCCAGGTGACATTGCGGTTTAGCTCAGTTCCGCCCCCAATTTTGATGGAGATCACCCCGAGGGGACGGGTCCGAGGGTCTCCCACCTCTCTCTCCTTCCGCCGAACAACATGAGAAAACTTTCGACTCGCCGCATATTTAGAGAACTGCCATGCCGCACCGACACTATACATTTACAAACATTCATGTCTTCTCCGGGATTTGAACCTGGGACCTTCAGCACGGCAGTCAGCGACGCCAACCACTATACAGGTTTGGGGGCACTAACTACGTTCCTCGTAGGGTCGTAGGAATGATTGTAAAATGGAGTAATCCGTTCCTGGACCGTAGAATATTGCTTGCTTAAAATTTAATATAGTAGTTTTGTATATAAGCTCATGACACAAAAACCAGGCAAAAATCATTAATCCAAGATAAAAAAGATAAACACAATAGATTGAAATTTAATTTTACCGTACTCATACGAAGGATTAGTGAATTGCAGAAGTAGAAAGTGATACGAAAAAGCTGTTATTGTTTGGATAGTTTTTCTCCTTCCTTAAAATCATCAGGTCTGTCTTTCCGCAGTACTTTCTTCTATCTTTCTGTAGTACATTCTTCTATCTTTTATTTGTCTCTTAGCGCCACACGGCTCACTGGGCCTCCGTTTCGCTCAAAATTTGTTCAATATGATTTGCTATTTTCTGCAATTTTATTTCTCAGTTGCATTGTTACTGAAAATGCCTGTGCTGTAACTTGCTACTGCTTTATCAGGGCGATATCATTCCACGAACTTTTGCATCTTGTTCCATTTCGCACAAATTTGGCAGATCAAAGATTTTGGTTTACATTATCTTCCATCCTCTATCTCTAAAAACACTTCATCCACTTTAAAGTTAATATTTAAGTGAAATTAGGGAGAACTCATGTGTATTTAGTTTAAGTTTGGTTGATTTGGGGTGAATGCCGTTAAAATCATGTGGACTGGTACGAAATTGTTACAGAACGTCGAAATGATCTTAAGCTATGCTTACTTTGGGTACCAAAACTTTTATTGAATCAGGCAGCAGATCTCTATGAAGATGGAATTCAGGAGTTGGTCATGCTATGCGTAAAGGCCTCAATGTAGAAGAAAATAAAGCTCGAAATCAGCTTAAAGCCCAGGCTTTCACATAAAAATACAATTAAAAAAATTTTTTTTTAACTTGCATTTATCTTATATCAAAACGCTACTTACTTAAACAACAAGCCTCGTGTATAAAACTAAAATATGATTTGAAAGGAAAATAACAATCTGATGATACAAGTAAGTTTATCTTGTAACAAGGCAAGTTTGGAGACTATTTCTAACAAGACACATACCACAGTTCAAGAAGGGCTTCGCTTTCGTATTATAAATTTACTTCCTCTTTCTCAAGGTTTTCCGGTATATACAATAAATCCTGTGTTTGGCGCATATGGCCTTTAGAGCTTTGCGCCATAAATCTACCACCAGCACCTTTCCTGTTTTTCCTTAATAATACTTTTTTAGCATACTATTGACAAAATACCAATATCTAATATGTATGTGATACATAAAATCTATTATTTGTGCTATCGTAAAGACTTTCGATCAGTACAGATTCAGTATTGCATTTTCAGGGTATCAAAAATGTATAATAGCACTTTCGTCGAAGCTACTGAACACTGCGTTGCTAAGAAGCTATCTGCATATAAATATGAAAACTAATTTGATAAAATTTTAGGTGTTTGTAAAGTTAAAAAGTAACATTTGTTCCCTTTATTATTATTTTTTTTTTCAGAAGATGCCTGCGTTGAAGCAAGCAGAATTCACTTCCGATGATGATGATATCACGGAAACTGAAGAGCTGTTATCCAAAACAAATTCCGGTAGCACATCGCTAGAGTTACCTACAGAAGATGAGCAATTCAACCATCCCAACGTACCTTTTAGATCACTCTCGTATCCAGAAGAATCCTTAAGTTGCGGAGGTTTTGTCAATCGTGGATTTGTTGATGATGAAGGTAAGTTATTCTTTCAAATATTCTAAACTTCTTTCAAAAATGTTTTCCTGGAACATAAGGTTAACTATACAGAACTTTCTTGTGGTTTCATTAGCAGCTAAAGTATATGAAACTAATTAGTACGAAATGCTTACTTTACTGTCATCAATAGCAAACTTTCTAGGCAGGTTTTAAGTATAAGCACACTATTTTCAGATATACTTAACAAAATTTGATGCTTTTCATAGTATATATATATAGATAGATATATGAATATATTCATAGCATATATATATATATATATATATATATATATAATAAATAAAGTAAAAAGAATAAAGAATATATAGATAGATAGATAAATAGATGGAGGATTAAATAATACGAACACCTGTGAAATAATGGAAAATCTTTATTAATAGGGGTTGGACCACCCTTTGACTGAAGTGCAGATTGAATGCGACCTGGGATAGATGCATAAAGATCATGAACAATATTTAAAGGAATATTAAGCCATTCCTCCTGCAGAGCGGTCTCTAATTCCGAAATCGGCAACGAAGTTTGGACTCGAAATATGTCCATAAATGTTCAATAATATTCAAGTCCGGAGACTGAAGGGTCCAAGCGAGATGTCAAATTGAATCTTCATGCTCTTCGAACCATTCTTGAATATACGTAGCAGTGTGGATAGGGGCGTTGTCATCTTGAAAAATCCGTCGCTCCCCAGGGAATGCAGTCTGGACAAAAGGATAGACATGATGCCCTAGAATGCTTAGATAGTGATTGGATGTGATCCTCCCGTGCAGAATAACAAGTGTCCCAAGACCGCGCCAAGATATCGCACCCCATACCATAATTTCGCCATCCCCATGCTTCACGGTCGGCAAGAGGCAGTCAGGACGAAACGCTTCTTTGGGCGTTCTCCAGACATAAACGCGTCCGCTCGTCTGAGATAGGGTGAATAATGATTCATCTGACCATATTGCCTGTTTCCACTGCTGTGGGGGCCAGCCCTTTGTGATCTCTGTACCACTGGCGTGCATTACTGGAAGCATTAGTTGCTGTCACCAAGGGTTTACGAATTGCCCCTCTGCCATAAATGTTCGCAGCATGAAGTTCCCTTTTGACAGATTTGTTGAAACGGAGTCCTGGAGATGACTGTTCATTTCGGATGTTATCTCAGATAACGATTGTTTGTGCTTTCGGGATACTATGCGCTTCAAGACCTGTCTATCCCTATCAGCCAGCTTTTACTTTCGGCCACTGTTGTGCTTTGAAGACGTCGTCTTACCCTCTTTCGTGCACGCTGTCATACCTTATTCCTTGCACACCCCACAAGTTTTGCTGTTTCCGTAACCGATGCTCCACTTAAATACGCTCCAACTATCATTCATCTTTGGAACTCTGACAGGTCTGACATTTCAACTTCTCACAGGCAGTTCGATCGAAACATGCAACGCAAGTGACTACTGTTGAGAGACTGATACCTTCTTTTTCACGCTCACTAGGTGGCAGACTTCTGTTGCAGGTGGCGCGGCTGTACTGCAGATGTGAAATAAATCATACGTTTTCACAGGTGTTCGCATTATTTTGTCCTCCATCTGTATCTTCTTTCTCTTTTTTCTTTTTTTCTCTTTCTTCCATACATAACCAGTAAAGCCTAATTACTTTTTTCTAAAACAATAACGTTTAGGCTTATAAGGTATTTCTTCCGCCTTCTAGCATGCCTTTGTGGTGTAGTGGTCAGCACCCTGAGCCGGTATTTCAGAGGTCCATGGTTCGATTCCAGGTGAAGGCGTTGCTGATTATTCATGACCCCTGCTTCCAATTAATCTAATGTCTCTACAGGCTTTACAGAAAATTTTTCCAAAACGTTGCTCTAATTTAAATGCTATCTCAGATATAGAGATTAAAAACTATCAATAAGTAAAAACTATTTTGTATGCTTTTGTATGCAGACTACGTATGAGATGAAACATTAGTTGCTTAGTGAAATAAACTTGCTCAAAATATACGAGAAACAGAGATGACAAGATATGTACGTACACTAAACAATAACGAAGCATAGAAAACGTAACTATGTGCGAGCTATGAGTAAGTGAATGTCAAGGCCTTTTGCAATTAGTGAAATTAAGTGAATCTGCTTAACTTAGCAGCTGGAATTTAAGACCATTGTTACTACAAGCGCGTGAATCATTGTATGCTTAAAGAGCATAAACTATGCGCATTTTAAGCCCACTAAAGATCTTCGTCTCGATATTAAGCCTATTAAAGATCTTCGTCAGTAAATGTCCTAGAAAAAAGCAAAGGTTGGTGACCGTATATCATAACAACCGGCGTCGACTTACTGTAGTGTATATTGGTCCATAACCGTGAAGTAATGGGGTAACTAAGAAGTGTATTGAATCTGAATTCAGTATAACCCCACTAAGTCATCGAAACGAAGGCTCAAAGCATGCTGCACATTGTAATTACTTGTATATTTAACAAACGTCATCATAGTTTGTGCTTACTGCTTGCTCGCTCGAGAGTTTCAAAACTGGACCTTTATTCAGCGGCATCTGGTAGCACAGACTGCACGAGTGTGTCATCAGCAACATAAAGGCAGCTAGTCTATCCATTCAGGTAGTCAGTTCTAATCAGTGTCGAATCTGTAATGAAATTGTAGATCTTCTAATAAGATTATGTGTTCCTTGTATTACCTGAAGAAAATATCCTGAAGCGCAGCATATCGATTGCACTTTAATATTTCTTTCAATATTACACTCCATCTGTATTCCTGTAATAAATTATCCTATTTTTCCTTCCTAGTTTTAAAAGCAAAATGTTCGAAGGAATTTTTCCAAATAAATTAAAAAGAATTATTAAGATTCTTAAATTTGTAAGTTAAATATTTTAATGTTAATATATTATATAAATCTTAATGTAAATTTGTATTCCTATATAATTTATTTCTTCTTTGAATTACCGTTTATTTCTTCTACGTATAATTTGTAATCTTCGCCGTGAAGTGAAGATATTTTTAGTTTTACCGATTAGAGACCTTTTCTGTTCTTCTGCTCCTTAGCAAACTGTTTTTTCGAGTAATTTCTCTAACCTAGTTTGAATAGCTTAGCTAAGTAAATGCATCTTTTTGCTGTAGTCCTACGCTATCATTTGTATCTTGGATGATTTCATTGTCTCCTTTCGTTATCTCCATCACTTGGATCTTTCAGAATGTTGACACTCCTTACAAACTCTAGAACTTTTCTTCGACCGCCCAAACGGCTTTTACTTTTATATAGTTTATGACAGTACGTTTCAAATTTTTAATATCCGCTTTTCGACGTTTATGTTGTATATCAGTGTTTCAAACAGTCTCAACAAACTGTTGAAAGTTTAAAGTTCTTTCAATTCAGAAACGCATTCCGAGAATTGGGAGCTCAAGCCATTATTTTACTTCAGTGGTTTATAGTTTGTTTTATTTAACATAGCAAAGCACTCGAGGGATATCTGCCTAAGAGAAGGGATGCTTTAGTGAAGGACTTTAAGGGAAACTGGCTGGTATCCACGTTACATTTATCGAAAACCACAAAACCGCTTATGCAGCTAGCCCACTGTGTATGAACTGGAAACAGTCTAACTACTACAGTTCAGCGAATTTATCACTCTGTCGCTGGCGGTTTGCGACTTCTCAAAGTGATCCTTGTGTAACCAGACAGAGGATTTAAGGGCTCTCAAAGTTCAAGATTTCTCAACAGGCCGCGCAGATGGTACAGTGGTTCGGGAAGCAAACTGCGCTACCAAAAAACCGGGCTCGAATGCCGGAGAAGTTAATATTGGCTCAAAAACGAGGATAGTAGCATTAACGTTTAAAATCATAGCATTATTTATAATATAAAAATATACTTTGATTCATATGAAGACATTTTACATGTGTGTTGATTATATATAGATATATAAAACAATTATTTTAAAGGTAACAAAATAAATAAATTTTTTGCCATAAAGATATACTATTCTGGAAAGTTTAAGAAATATTTTCACTAGAAATGTAGATTAAGAAAACAGTTTAGCAGCATTATTAAGCATTTATTATCAAGGTGCAAGGTATTAAGCATTTTGGTGGTGGTGGTGTATTGAGAATACGGCAAAGCACACTAGGGCTATCTGCCTAAGGGGAGGGATGCCTTCGTGGAGGAATTTCTAAGGGAAACTGGCTCATTAAGCATTTTGAAAATTAGTTAAAGATTTCGTTAAAATACGTGCATTTTTTTAAAACTTATGAAAATTTGCAATTTAATTATTCATAGTCCAATGCTTCAAACAAATCGTCAGGGGGTAATTATTTAAAGCATTAACATGAACAATTAAGGAGTACTGATTCACGTTTCGCCAATCTTGACTATTTGAAAGCAACAAAATTTATAATTGGTTTTTAATAACAATAATTAAAAAATTGTATCTCGAAATATTTGAATTATAATTAAAAATTTTAATAATATTTTGAGTAATTTAGTTTTTGCTGTGAAATAGTCAAGAAGAAAGAAACGTATATCAGTACTTTTTAACTATTCATGTTTAACATTTTAAATAATTACCTCCTAACGATTTGTTTCAAGAATTAAACTATGAATAATTAAATGCAGATTTTTCATAAGTTTTTTAATTTTTTTAAATTTTAACATATTTTAAAGAAATTTTTATCTAGTTCAGAATGCTTAATAAAGTGTCTAACTATTTTCTTAATCTAAATTTTTAGTTAAAATATTCCGTAAACTCTACAGGATAATAATAATCTTTAGGATAAAAATTGCTTATTTTGTAAATTTACATATGTATGTAGATAGATAGATATTCCCTGCTTTTTTTACACATATATTATTTCTAACATTATTTTTATTTAAATAAATTTGTTAATATTTATTTATGAAATTTTTCACCCAAAGTTATCTTTTGTTTTCATAGCATATAGCTTAAATTTCAAGTATATTCAAGTAAATGAGTTTACACTTCAAGTATATTTAAGTGCTTGCATTTAT